TGAAAAATGCATGTAACGTAAACAAAGGCTAATAAAGAAGTCTCGACGGGCTCGTTTTGTCGAGTTAAAGGGGGCAAATAGGAGTGTAGGGAGGAAGTAGGGAGGGGTAAGTGAGTAAGTACATTTATTTTAGTGTTAAAGGCCATAAGTTCCAAGAATTAAAAAAAGTGCAGATTGTGCACACATCTCTTCTCAAGTATTAATACAACACACGTGTTGTTCATTAATCAGCTGTCAGCCGTGCTCACCACCATGACGCCAAAGGCGTCATATTTCATACATTTCATATTATTGTTTCTGCACTGGGCCGAGTCAGGCTGGGTGGGTAGGGGAGGGTGGGTTAACAATTTCCTTAAATGGGCAAAATTTAGAAAAGTAAAAATGAATTGAAATTTGTTTTCAATTTCATGAGAGTTACACCTCCCATGAAAAGGTGAATTTATTACTTTCCACCTATAAAGATTGTTATTTAAAGGAAAGCTATGAGTTTTAGCAAGACTATGACTCTTCTTTTGTTCCAATACGGTGTGAGGTCGATGTTCACTAGACTATTTTTAAAAACAAATTCTAAAAAACAATTAAACTTGCGAGGGCTATATTATTTTTATGTTCTGCACAGAATAATCAACACGCCCAATTTTTAGTTCACTGAGAAATAATGTAGTGCTTCCAATACTTTGAGAAAACTAGGAATATCCAAACCCCTACGAAAACAATGGGCTTTTCACCACTGTAGCTCAGCTGACTCTTCCCAATCCACAGGGACAATATAATTGTACGTAACCTTTCTTTGGATTCTGCCATTATCTGAGTGTATTATGTCTGTAGCAAAATGTAATGACTCAATGCATATAATCAGACCATAAATTGGGTCTTCCCACTTCTCTCAGAATTAAACATGAGTGTAGCTTTGCCAAGACACAGGAAGGCTTTCCAGATTTTAACCTGAACATTGTCAATCACGTCCTATTTTTGGGTATCCCAAATTTCAGAGCCTTAAAGCAGTATTGGTTTAATCTTAATATCAAACAGGGTTTTTTGTTGTTGTTGTTGTTGATATTTCGAAATTCAATTCTTGGTATGCATGAACCGAAAAGCCTTATTGTTCGAGAAACAGTCCTCTGAGCTTTACAAGTTCGATCTTCAAGCGTTCGTCTCCAGCATAGGCAAGGTGTAACAGTAATAGATTACCGTCTCTAAGATCTTATCCTCCAAATGCCTTGTCTCAGACCTTTTGAGGTAGCCTCCATTTCTAAAAACAACAATCTTACTTATCTCCGCATTAAATTCGATATCAGGCATAACTCATGTTCCATGCTGATTTTCTTTTGGGAACCTCTGACATTGTCGACAAAAATACTTTGGTCTTCAGCGTGCAGTAAACATAAAAATGCCATCATCATCATTTGACAATACGTGTATAGCATTGGTATTTTATTCTGATAGGTGTCTTTCTAATGGAGAAATAAACAAGAAAGCACCACAGGGCTGAGTATGCAGCGGTGTTGAACACCTGATATACATTGGAAGTATTCAGTCAAATAAAATTTCATGGATCCTCGTTCCTCTGAGTAGATTTAAACACATGAAAGCCCTCTTTGATATACATAATTTTCAAAATGGTGTACACTTGTCCAAAACAGCCTTTTTAGTGCTGTCCAAAGATGTTCTCTTTCAACCCCCATCAAATGCTTTAAAAGGTCGACAAAACATGCATAGAATCTTCCGCCAGGCTTGGAGATATATTTTTAGACTAAAGATAGGGGGTGAAAATATTATTACATGTATCAATTATAAAATAATTTCGTCAAAAAGCTGCATGAACTTAAGGATGAGGTTTCCTTCACCACTCTATAGATGCATTCTTTTGTTTAATATGTATTACCAGAACATTCAATAAACTAATGCCCTTATAATTATTTACATCATTTACGTTTCCCTTTTTATGCAAGTAAGTTTCTTAGTCGAGGTTAATTAAGCGAAGGCGGGAATAAGAAATGAATGGGGAGTTTTTTTAAAAGAAAATTGGTAAAATTGTTAATAGGTGGTTTGCGCATAGACTTTGCTAATTTTGAGGCGCTGATTACGAATATGACATAATAATTTTAATCCGAACTCAAGATTGGATTTTTTTTAAAGCTCTGGTGTTGGCTATGGTTCATGAGTCACGACCCAGCCCTGCTAAAAGGCAGCAAGCGGCTTTCCAACCGAGATGTCTTTGTTGAGTCGTGTCTGTTGACACAACCAAGCGGACTTTTCACTGATTTCTTAGGAAATAATCGATGCTCCATTTCAACTAATGACTTTCCGAGAGACGGACGGAATCAGGTCAGTTGGTGTCCGTCACAGTGGACACGGGCCCTAACTCGTCATTCTTATAGGCGTTACCACCAGACCACGAGATTAGCAATTTCTCAAAATTGGCATAACATTCTCTGGGTTTGATAACATCCTTTGTCTCAGAGGTTTTATACAATAATTGGATATTGACTTGCATCCAAAAATCGTTCGAATCGCGCTTTAAACAATTTTGAATTAGAATTTAAGTTTGTAATTATTGTGTATGCTGTTGTTGTTTTTAAAGTTTTAAGAGGTTCTTAAATTTCTTTTTTAAAGCGATGTAGTTACCTAGTGGTTCATCTGATTTCCAAATTATGACTTTCTTGAAATGCTTCGTAGTTTTGCCTTTAAGCGTCTTAGTATTCATATCAAACCGTGGTGGTTGGGATGTACACTGTTAAAACCTACTAACACCTGTAGATTGCATACATTCAGCTGAATTTTTAACACAATTATTCAACATCGCAACAGCACTATTTGGCTTACTCGCATGTCGTACAAGATTAGAAAGATAAATACCGAACAGGTTTTCCTTAAATGCTAGTACATACATAGTCCTCGAAGTTGGCGTTGTTCCAAAAACATTCTGGATATCATATTATAAAAGACATAAAACTTATTGTTATATGGGGTCACGTTCGGTGCTAGGGGTTGTAAGCGTTATACAACTCTCTCTGGTTATACTAAGAGGAAAATGATCACCCTCTTATCTAGGGATTATTTCAAAAGCTTTAACTACATCCTGAAACCCATCCTTGCTTACAATGATGCAATCTACGGCTGACTTGCCTTTGTTTGTACTACCGGAGATGTTCTTTTCCTCGTCTCTTTTTATTCTGCCATTTTGTTAATTTTACAAAACTCTGTAGGTTAAACCCAAAATGCATTTTTTTTTCTGTATCACTAGACTTATGACCCTCGACATCGAAATCTATATGAACTGAAATAAGTTCACAAGTGTCAAATCCATATACACCCCCTGCTCTCCTTGTGTCACTGATATGTCGGTGGGTGGTACCTGATGAGCCCAAGGACGCCGGCTGAGATGCTGGAACCACAAGTTTTCCACTCTTAAAATAGCCTCTCTGGACTTTGCCTCTGAATTTTTCAGTTCTTGGTGTTGTTTCAGTTAAGTCGTTGGAGACGCCGATGTCTATGTTGCGCAGATCTTGTCTGGCCTTGAGGACCTCCTGTTTGTCCTCAAACTGTGTGAAGCAAATTATAACTGGTCACGTGTTGTTTCTGCCGTGTGCACTCAGGCGTCGTGCGCGTATGACGTCTTCCTCCTTCTAGGCTTTACAGGGCGTCACCCTCAATGCGGAAGCAGGGAATTTTAAACGCCAATTCAAGCTCATGTTTGCCTAAAAACATATTATTCATGACGCTGGTGCAATGTATGTTGTTGTTGTTTTTATCCAAGGTTCAAAGTGACACTGAACGACTGTAAGGGCTCTGAGCACATGGGGCGTTCTCCTTAGACAGACAACTGCACGCGTTGTATTGACGAAGAGTGTCGGGGTCGGATAATTGTTTATTCCTTTTCATCTAAAGGGTGTGATTGGGCTGCGGAGCCGAACGGCACAAATATGTTGAAACATCAGAGTCGTAATAGTGGGCAGTCCAGAAGTCGATCGAGTAAAGCACATTTCTGTGCTGACAGCTCCATCTAATGCTACATCTGCGCCATCCAAAACCACAAAGGTTGCAAAAGACCGCACCTTATCACCAGTATTCAAATAGTAGATCTACAGGCCATTCACTGTGTCTCCACAACTATCCCAGACAAGACATCTTTTTAAAAAAAACCTCGTTGTGCAAGAAGACAGCTAAATAATTCCACCTCAAATACCATAGAATGCAAAACATGAGGACAACCCATTTTACTGGGAATATTGAGAAATCAAGAAAACAACCAGCAGTTGAAACGACTAGAAACACAAATAGCATCAAGAGTAGCTTGGAAATGCATCACTTAACAACTCTTCAGAGCAAAGAACTCGTAGATTCAAACCGTTCTCGATGGACTAATTAATTTATAAAAATTGTTTTCCATTATTGTGACAGTAAAAATTACATGTATTGTTTATTCATGCAGTCACAGTGATACCAGCAATAGTGTCGTGTTGTGATTTTACGTGTATGTAGACTGTTGGTAAACGTGCAGAATCTAGAAGAGATCTCTCTCTCTCTCTCTCTCTCTCTCTCTCTCTCTCTCTCTCTCTCTCTCTCTCTCTCTCGGTGTGTGTGTATATATGTGTGTGTGAGGGGTGCTGACAAAATGAATTACTTCTCGCAATCCACAAATGGAAATATCAGCCAAAAATCGACACATAAGGGTCAAATTGGTAGATTTTCTATTGATGTCATATTCTTTATATGTATATCCTGCCTTTGATTATTTCATACTTATAAATTTTGAAAACTTCACTCATAAGCGTGATGCATCTATTTCTTTAATGAATCCAAGAAGTAACTCATTTTATCAGCACGCTTCACATACATATAATATATATATGAATTATATATATATCACTCTCTCCATAACATGACTGTCTCGTATAACTAGGTCGTCATGCAAGAGCTACCACGAGTCCACCGACTGGGTAAAATACTGCATAAAGACTCCCCACACCCATTCTCCTCACTCAGTGTGCTGCAGATCAGCTGCACTCTTGCTGAAACAACCACCTCAGTTTTTTAGTTTGACCAAGCGGTTTATTCTGGTTTTGGACTTCAGCTGCAATATATGACAATACAGCTCTGTGTTGACCGCAAGGGATTGTTCCAACATCATGGCCACCAAAGAGATGTTCAAAAGGTTTTTTGATCATTTTTATATTTACTGGATTACCAACATCGCGCATTATGTCTCTTTGACTCAATTGTGCTTATCATTAGACACCTTCAATGTCGTTTTGGCTCCTTGTTAGCAGTTTTAAAGTAATCTTGCCATGTATTTTTTTTAAACAGTTAAAATTTAAAAAAATAGCCTAAATCAGTGTTTTTCCCTTTCGTCCTTCACGTCCCATCTTTTTAGAAAAATTGGCTTTGGGTAGGCCCTACACAAACTTTCCAGGAGAGAATGAAGAATGTCCAAATGGATCTAAATAAAGACTCGACTGAATGCATCCACATACCCACAGGTTCACTGAAAATGCGCTACATATTATGTTTTCAGAGCTCTGATGGTAGTTGACAAGCTGTGCTATTGTTTCCACAGACAGTTTGTTAGGAGTCAGCTGCATGGGTCATTTCATTGTTAAATGCTTCGAGGTTTTGTTCTAAGAAAAGTCCAAATGTCTGCCTTTTGAAAGGGTTCAGTTAGACGTCATGTTTGCTGAGGAGATGTTCAAAGTTTTAGTGCTTCAGTTTTGTTCTGTATTCCCAGCAACAGAGTAAGTAAGTCGCGACTGGTTGAAGAAAAGGGTGAATTATAATCTTGACCTTAGAACCAATTGTCATCTATCGTTCTTGCAAAGCAATTCTTGACAATTTACTTTTCTATCCCAGTAGTACGTCACATGATTTTGGTTGCCCTTGGATGTGCATGTGGTTTTGCGATGGAGGGGAAAGGGGGGGGGGAGGGTAGAGTGGAAAGGATACCCCACATGTTGTGGTATCGAAAGAAAGTGTCTTAAAAGGTCTTGCTTATAATCACTTTGGCGACGTCTCGGTATTTAATACGATGAAGTTGCATTTCTTTCATAATTTTATTTACAGGGGAAAAGCTTTTTTTTTTTTCATTTTTCTTAGTGTTGTAGTGAATGGATATGGTGCGTTTTGTCATGCAGCCTTCATATAATCTGTTTGATGTAGTCGCCCTGGAAAGCGCGAAGTTAACGTGAATAGGCATAACAACCTTGGACATCTAGCTGCCATTGGAAAATAAAATGGAAGGCAAACGAGGTAGGGTAGACCAAGAGCAAAATTAATTACTTAGAGAGCGTAAACAGATTGAGTGACGGGGAAAGATCAGGATAATTATATAATTTTGTTTTGTTTTGTTTTGTTTTGTTTTGCTTTTTTTGTTGTTTTTTTTTAAGCTTCGGTGCAAAGGAATTGATGGCGAGTCATCACCGCCGATTTCTGTTGCAGATCTGGCAGTTGATATGATCATTCATCGTGATGCTTTTGAAATTATTATTACTATTATTGTTATTATCTTTATTATTAATAATTATCATTATTATCATTATTATCATTATTATCATTATTATCATTATTATCATTTGTATCGTTATTATTAGTATTATTATTGTAATTATTGTCTTTATTATTATTATTATTATTATTATTATTATTATTATTATTATTATTGTTATTGTTGTTGTTGTTGTCGTTGTTTTTATTACTATTAATACTATTATTATCTTCATTATTATTATCTTTTTGGGCTGCCGTGAGGTGTGTGGGAAGGGGGGATGTAGTAGTGTAGTAATGTTAGAAGAAGTACTGTACTACTACTATTAATAGTAGTAGCAGCAGCAGCAGCAGCAGCAGCAGCAGCAGCAGCAGCAGCAGCAGCAGTAGTAGTAGTAGTAGTAGTAGTAGTAGTAGTAGTAATAGTCGTAGTAATAGTCGTAGTAATAGTAGTAGTTGTTGTTGTGGTGGTGGTGGTGGTGGTGTTGTTGTTGTTGTTGTTGTTGTTGGTGGTGGTGGTGGTGATGGTGGTGGTGGTGGTGGTGATGGTGGTGAATGTGGTGGTTGTTGTTGTTGTTGTAATAATATAACTGGCCTGCACCCTGGCACCTACCATAAAAAACTAAGGGCCCCGGTCGGCAATGAAAATCAAATATTTCCTTACGTTTTATGATTGTCTATTTATGCGATATTTTAATTCTATATCCACCTATTCGTTGTGGAGAAATATGTTCTAGAGCCTAATGCTGACAACAAATCTATAAAAAAATGCAGTGTCAGGAAACATCCAGACAACATAACGCAAGTGCATTTTTGTAATAAAGGCTCATTTTCTCAAATAAGAGTTTTACTGCACTTGAAGTTACTTAATCGCCTTTGCGATGTGGGAGACATACTTCAAATTTGTACACTAGCATCATAACTGAACAAATATATTGCAATAAAAAGTGATTTCTTTTTTCAATGTTTTTTTTTTTTTTGAGGACTCATAATTGCGTGAAAGACGTACACAAAATCGGAATATTCGTTGAAAATACAGTTATTCATCTTTCAAGCAAAGAAGCTCTTCATGCGATTGATAGTAGTAGATCAAAGGGTGCCAATGTTTATTACTTTGGTATTGATAACAAGTGAAAAATGTTCCGTTGAAATTGACACCAAAATCCAAGACGCCGGGTGTTTTTAAAAGTTCCTATGCCACTAAAGCATTTTTCTAACTAAACAAATGTAGCACGATGTGAAGAAAATCTCAGGCAAGTATGGTTATCACAAATACATGTATGGATGGGAAAAGAGACGTCTCGCTTTTTGTTTTCAAGGTAGACCTTGGTCTTAAGCTCTGACGCACATTCTTGAACTTTGCCTCAGGCTTATGTTCGTCCTCTCAACTGACAGGCTACCTGTTTGTATTGATAAAAACTTTTCCATAGAAGTAAAGGCCGCAACAAGTGTACACTTTGTTCTTAATGTCAACTGACGGAGGAGTCTATGAAGCCCAAGGCAAAAAGTAACAATAGATGCATGTGTGTGTTTAACTCGCTGAGGTTACTGAGCATAAATCCTACAAAAGATTTCATTATATTTTATTATATTAATGGGCATCTTATATTCTGTTTTAGATGATGGCTTACTAGAGAAGAAAAACCTCTTTGTCTTGTTTGTTTGATTTAATTTGTTTGATTTCAGTTCCATGACTTGTCTCTTTGCCTTTTTGTGCTTTTCTGATGATAATAATAAT